CCTGTAGTCCCAGCTACTTGGGAGGCTGAGGCAAGAGAATTGCTTAAGCCCAAGAGTCTGAGGTTGCTGTGAGCTGTGACACCATAGCACTCTATTGAGGGCAACATAATGAGACTCTGTCTCAAAAAAAACAAAAACAAAAACAAAAGGCAGCTCCTGTGGCTCAGTGAGTAGGGCGCTGGCCTTATATACTGAGGGTGGCAGGTTCAAATCCAGCCCCAGCCAAACTGCAACAAAAAAAATAGCCAGGCATTGTGGTGGGTGCCTGTAGTCCCAGCTACTTGGGAGGCTGAGGCAAGAGAATTGCCTAAGCCCAGGGGTTGGAGATTGCTGTGAGCTGTGATGCCATGGCACTCTACCGAAGGTGATAAAGTGAGACTCTGTCTCTAAAAAACAAAAAAAAAGTATTTATTCAGTACCTGCTGTATGCCAGGCTCTGTACTGGGAGTGGATAATGACCAGGAAAGACAGGGCATTAGTCCTCAAGCAACTTAGTCTAGCACAGATAGGGCATTCCTGAATCTGGGTGGACCACAGCAGAAGGGTGAGGAAGGAACACCTCTCTCTGGACTTGGAGAAGGCTCCAGGTTGAGTTGAGGTATAACTACCAGGAGAGGAGAATTTTGGAAGATCTCAGGGGATAAAGATATGTGACTCAGAACAAAAAAAAATTTTTTTTTTAAGAGCAATTCTTATCTGGGTCACATAATCCTGAGTATCTGATAGAAACTATGAATTATCCTTCCAGAAAAAATGCACATTCACACAAGAAATTCATGAGCTCCTATGACGCTGGTTATGAGAATTCTGTTTTGAGGCAGTGGGTTAGGAAACCACCTCCACAGGGGAGAGGTTAATCTCAGCCCTGCATTTTTTCCCAGCCCTTCAGCAGGTGGAAGAGGTAGGCAGGAGGAGGCCTGGCCACTGGGCCCTGAGATGCCTGCAGGTTCCTAGCCAAGAGAGATGCTCCCCTGTTTCTCCCCCAGTCCCAGCTTCCTTCTTCCCAGCCCCAGCTCCCTCCTCCCCACTTACAGCATCTAGAGTCGCTGACATGGGTTTGGTGTCTGTTTGGCAAGAGTTGAAGTGTCAGAGCTGGGCACAAAGTGGCAGAGTCTATCACAACTGAACTCTTCCTTTCTGCTCCAAGAAGTTTTGTTCTCCCGCACCGCTTGAAATAGCTTCCCAAGCTTCTACAAGCAGGCTCTTTACTTCCACTTTCATTTCAGCAAAGGCCCTGCCCTTTGGTGCTCACAGGCCCCAAGCTGTGACTTCCCCACTCCTGGGAGGAGCCTTCCAGGTGTCCACCCAGCTATGAGCCCTCAAGGGAGGCCACATTACAGCTACTGGGAACCGAATGCTGGCTCTAATCACCATTCTCAAACAAGCAATCCCAGCCCAAGCTTGATAGTAGAGCTTGCCATGTCAATAGATATTCTTTTCTTTTTTGTTTTTTTTTAGAGATAGAGTCTCACTTTGTCACCCTTGGTAGAGTGTCGTGGCGTTGCAGCTTATAGCAACCTCCAGCTCTTTTTTTTTTTTTTTTGAGACAGAGCCTCAAGCTATCCCCCTGGGTAGAGTGCCATGGCATCACAGCTCACAGCAAACTCCAACTCCTGGGCTCAAGCGAGTCTCCTGCCTCAGCCTCCCAAGTAGCTGGGACCATAGGTGCTTGCCACAACGCCTGACTATTTTTTGGTTGTAGCCGTCATTCTTGTTTTGGCAGGCCGGGCTGGATTCAAACCCGCCACCTTAGGTGTATGTGGCTGGCACCTTAGCCAATTGAGCTATAGGCACCGAGCCAACCTCCAGCTCTTGGGCTTAGGCAATTCTCTTGCCTCAGGCACTGAGTAGCTGGGACTACAGGTGCCCACCACAATGTCCGGCTACTTTTTTGTTGCAGTTTTGCCAGGGCCAAGTTTGAACCTGCCACCCTCGCTATATGGGGTTGGCGCCCTACTCACTGAGCCACAGGCGCCACCCATTTTCTTAGATCCTAGAATGATGTTGGGTACAGGCAAATTTGAGAGTAATTGTTGAATGAATGAGAAATGCCACCAGAACAGGTTAAGTTCACAAAGCTTTTTTGAGACAGTTTTACTATGTTGCCCTCGGTACAGTGTCATGGTGTCACAGCTCACAGCAACCTAACTATTGTGCTTAAGCAGGGACTACAGATGCCCACCACAATGCCTGGCTATTTTTTTGTTGCAGTTGTCATTGTTTTAGCTGGCCCCAGGCCGGGTTCAAACCTGCCAGCCTCAGTGTATGTGGTTGGCACTGTAACCACTGTACTACAGGTGCCAAGCCCTATTTTTCTCTTTACAGTATTTTTTTTGGGCCGGGGCTGGGTTTTAACCCACCACCTCCAATATATGGGGCCAGCCCCGTACTCCTTTGAGCCACGGGTGCTGCTCTATTTTTCTCTTTACAGATGGGAAAACTTGGCACAGAAATTAAGAAACTTGTCCAAAGTCACCAGGCAAGTAAGCTGAGAAGTCTGTTATCTAAAACTGGTAGGAACAGTATTTATTTGAACTTAGGCCTCTAGAGTGGAAAGAACTTGCTAAATCTTTAGTCAAAGGAGGGTTTTTATTTAGTTCCATTTCTGTGACCCTGAGCATCCAAGCTATGTGTCTCTCCACGGAGATGCCTTAATATCCAGGGGCGAGAAAAATCAAGTCAAAAAGTACATGACATGACATTGTGTAGTGGGTTTGTTTCCTAGTATTTCACCTAGTCCAGGGTTTCTTCCACTGCTAAGTTACTTACCAACCCCATTTCTCAGCCCTTGCGCTATCACATCATAGGTAGAAGTGTGGTACCAACTGCAAGACGTGGCAAATTGGCCCGTTTGAATTATAGTTCCATCTAGTAACTTACGAACAGTAAAACGGTCACAGTCAAGCATCCAGAGCAGTAAACTGCTGGACCCTAAGAGCCAGACGTCTTTCCTACACAACATAGCGTCATAACCAGCACCCAAACCCCTTGAATCATACTTGTCCTTGCTTTTCACTACCTGCTGGGGCCAGTTTGAGAAGTTCTTCCTTGTTCCACCAAATGTTTGCTCCGGGCTCAGGCCTTTATCATCCCTATTACCCAGAGAATATCTCAAGGGCAGTCCCTAAAAATCTGCTAGAAGCAGACTTACCAAATCAAAATCAGTCTGAAGGGCAGACTTCAGCAATTTGTGGCTTAACCACTCACACAGATGATCTCCACCTGATCCAATACTGGAGATCCTCAGGTTAGTGGTTTTCAGTCCAAAATAACCTAGTTCCTTGGCTGGGCTCACAGCTGTAATCCTAGCACTGTGGGATGCTGAGGTAGGTAGATTACCTGAGCCAGAGTGAGACCTCACCTCTAAAAATAGCCGGTATCCGTAGTCCCAGCTACTCGAGAGGCTAAGTCAAGAGAATCGCATAAGCCCGAGTTTGAGGCTGCCGTGAGCTATGATGCTATAGCACCCTACCAAGGGCAAGGAAGTATTTTGTCCCCAAAGAAAACAAACCCTAGTCCCCAGTCAGGAGCTTTCGGTTATCTTAAGGGGCAGAGGTAGGGCAAGCTCAGGTTTTCCTGGCATGTAATGGTTACATAGAAGCTAGAGAGGTAAATAATTCTGCATGGGAAAGAATAACCTCACCTAAAAATATTAGGAGCAGCCCTTTTAGCACAGCAGCACAGAGCACAGCCAAATTGTTAAGGGATTATCAGGCAAAGGACAGAAATAGTGTAATTCTCACAAAGGCAGATTTACCCTTAAAAACCTTTTTTTTTTTTTTTTTGAGATGGAGCCTCAAGCTATCCCCCTGGGTAGAGTGCCATGGCATCACGCTCACAGCAACCTCCAACTCCTGGGCTCAAGCGAGTCTCCTGCCTCCACCTCCCAAGTAGCTGGGACTACAGGCGCCCGCCACAGCGCCTGGCCATTTTTTGGTCGCAGCCATCGTTGTTTGGCAGGCCCGGGCTGGGGATTTGAACCCACCACCTTAGGTGTATGTGGCTGGCGCCTTACCTGCTTGAGCTACAGGAGCTGAGCCTAAAAACCTTTTTTTTAAAAAGAGATAGGGTCTTGGAAAACTGTCCAGGGTGGCCTCAGCCTCTGAGCAACCGGGGTTACAGGCTCAAGCCACCATGTCTGACCACATTTAACTTGTCCATTTCACCACCACACTCCATCCACCACCCAGTATCTCTTATCCTATCAATGTTTTCCCTTCCCCAGTCTGATAATACCCATAGCAAGCAGACACAAGAATTTTTAAAATATTTTTAATGACTGAAACAAAAACACCTAAAACCGCAGTTTCTGGAAGAACCACTTATTCTTGCCCGTCTTGTACCTAAAGGGGGAAAAAAATAACACCAATGAGAACAGGAAGACAAAAATCTTTTCATGGGGGAATAGTGAAATTGTACCCCCAAAATCAACTATCAAAGCCTACTTACCTCTCTTCAAACTTGACCTTGGCCTCCCGTCGGGCCTTGCGTTTAAGAGCAGGGTCTCTGAAGACATCCTTGTTGACGACAGTTTTGTCCAAGGGAATATCCACAGAGTACCTGGGGACAACAGCAGACAGGAAGGATTAGTCCCAATACTGCTACAGCACCCAGCACCCACAAAATCCAAGTCCTCCTGGGACACTGGGGAGTCAGGGTCTGACTCTTTAGAAGTGTGTCCTGGCTGGGCGCGGTGGCTCACACCTGTAATCCTAGCACTTGGGAGGCCAAGGTAGGTGGACTGTCTTAGCTCACAGGTTCAAGACCAGCCTGAGCCAGAGTGAGACCCCTGTCTCTAAATGTAGCCAGGCATTGTGGCAGGTGCCTGTAGTTCCAGCTACTTGAGAGGCTGAGGCAAAAGAGGATCCCTTGAGCCCAAGAGCTGGAGGTTGCTGTTTGCTATGACACCAGGGCAACAAAGTGAGACTGTCTCTCTACTGAGGGTGACAAAGTGAGACTTTGTGTCTACCCCCAAAATCAAACAAACAAAAATTCCCACTTCATCCTCAATTTTCACAGCTACTCTTTTTTTGTTTTTGAGACAGAGTTTCAAGCTGTCGCCCTGGGTAGAGTGCCATGAAGTTGTAGCTCACAGCAACCTCAAACTCTTGGGCTTAAGCAATTCTCTTGCCTCAGCTTCCCAACTAGCTGGGACTACAGGTGCCCACCAGCCTCAGTGTATGTGGCTGGAGCCCTAACCACTGTGCAACGGGCACCAAGCCTTTTTTTTGGCGTGAGAGTCTTTCTGCTGCCTAGGATAGAGTGCTGTGGCATCAGTCTAGCTCAAAGCAACCTGAAACTCCTGGGCTCAAAGGATCCTCCAGTCTCAGCCTTAAAGTAGCAAGGACTACAGGTACTCACCATAACGTCTAGTTAATTCTTCTATTTCTCTTGCTCTCTTCCAGGCTGGTCTATTACTCCTGAGCTCAAGAGATCCTTAGCCTTCCAGACTATTAAGATTATAGGGTAAGTTATTATACCTGGTCAGTTAGGCCTTTCTTTTTTTTTGAGCAAGAGTCTCAAGCCATCACCCTGGGTAGAGCACCTTGGCAACCTAGCTCACAGCATCCTCCAACTTTTGGGCTCAAGCGATCCTCCTGCCTGTTTTTCTATTTTTAGTAGAGATGGGGTCTTGGTTTTTGCTCAGACTGGTCTCAAAAAACTCATGAGCTCAAGCAATCCACCTCCTCAGCCTCCCAGAGTGTTAGGATTACAGGATTCAGTTATAGCACCTGGCCCATTAGGCCTTTTTTTTTTTTTTTTTTGGAGAGTCTCATTTTGTTGCCCTCACTTGAATGTAGTGGTATCATAGCTCACAACAACCTCGAACTCTTAGGCTCAAGCGATTCTGTTGCCTCAGCCTCCCAAGTAGCTGGGACTACAGGCACCTGCCACAACACCTGGCTATCTTTTAGAGATGAGGTCTCACTCTTGCTTAGGCTGGTGAACTCCTGAGCTCAAGCAGTCCACCTGTCTTGGCCTCCCAGAGTGCTGGGATTACAGGTGTGAGCCACCTTGCCTAGTCCAAGGTTAGGCCTATTTTTAGAGATAGTCTTAGTGTCCCCCTCTGTAGAGTGCCGTAGCGTCAGAGTTCAAAGCAACCTCTAGCTCTTGGGCTTAGGTGATTCTCTT